CTATTGAATTAATGGCTGTACTATTGATTTGGACGTCGAAAACGCCGTAACTGAGGGCGAAGTCCACGTCTATTATGCGGTCCTTTGAGTGCATTTTACACCAATTGATCATCTCTTCCGTCTCCCTGTACTGCAGTCTCTTCTCTACGAAACCTGTGGTTTGAAATCAATATCAAATTTTTTGTGAGATATTTATGTTTAAATAATTTATTGATAGGTTTATGTGTTTATTATTGTCAGTAAGTATTGATTTACTTTTGATTTTTAATGCCAACTGTTTATTTCAAATAACTTTCTTATTAATTATTTAATATCTACTTAGACTTTAAAATAACAAACTATAAGATGGTATTAAAATGTTTGTAATTTATAATAACATTAATTTATGTATTAATCTTAATAATCTTAATAGTGTTGTTTATAGTCAAAATAAGCACATAAAATTTGTACAAATAGCTATTAAATAATTATTTTAATCATAAAAATAAAAATTTGAATTTTCCACAATAAATGAGTTTAAAATTCGCATAAAATTTCTCTAATCAAAAGGAAAATTTAATTTTGTGCTAATTTTTTTAAAACAGTGTCTCAAAAAATGCAGACAACAGTCCCCTCTTGAGAGTCTCAAGGATTTACGTTTCCATTGGGGGTCANTTACGTTTCCATTGGGGGTCAGAGTATCTGTGTTTGCAATGGGAAAGGGAGTGTAGAAAACTTTCATATGACAACCTTTTTTATCGGTTAATCTGGAATTTTTTGAATTTATTTGATTTATAATCAGTACTTCAAATGTTTAGTAGTAATGAAAATACAGTATTATATAAATTATTGCGAATTCTAAGAACTTTTAGTTTTTATTATTATATTAATAACTAGTTAAAATAGTAACAATATTCTAGTATTCTAGTACTATTATTAACATTACTGTAGTTAAATGTACGGTAGTTAAGATTAAGTGAAAATAATATACAGGTAATAAATAAATAAAATTGAATTTTATAAAAAAAAATAAATATTCAACAAACGATCGCATGAATAATATATGAATAGCTACCATACCTAAGCGCATGGATGTCCTGAGATTTTTGCCATCATAGTTAGGAATATCGGAAATCTTCTTAAGCCTGATTTCGTAGGGCTGTCCCTGGTTTAGGTATGTCATCGTCATTGAGCCTAATTTGACACCCGATGCTGTCGGCGCTCCTAATATGTATTGAAACACCCGGGAGTGGGGCTCGGATTTAATAGTCTTTCCGATCTGTACGCTCGACATCTTATTATTCACGGATGGGGCGTCCGTTTTGGAGTACCGGCGCCACGAATAGCCGTAAGAGTTCTCCATATTTCTCGACGAATAACCGACTGTTTCGCCCGATTCCGAGATATCCGACGGAAAACTAAATAAAACAAAAAATTCTGTTATTTTAATGAATACATAAGAAGTGTACAGAATTTTGTATATAAAAAGATTGTATTAAAAAATAAATTACAGAATATTCTGTCGTCTAATTCCCTACACTATCGCTACGAAACGAATTCAAAATTCACATTCAATTCAATATCGTATGAGAGGTATACTTATGAGTGGAGGAGGCGTCCACTGATGAGGACACGGAGCTTATGGGCGACAGTTCCTCACCACCACTACCACCAGTGCTCACACCCTTAAAACACAACCGTTTGGTAGCTTTTCGCGCCTTGTCTTTCGTGGTGGGAGTAGTAGGTGTAGTCGCAGACTTTGAGCCATCAGTGGCTACCGGTGCTGCTGCTGATGATGATTGTGTGGATGGGTGTTGTTGATGATGGCGTTGGTGTGGTTGTGGTGGTTGTGCCGCATAATTGGCACAACTATTGCCATAGTTTTGCCTCTCGCTGTCGGTAGAAGTATACGAACCACAAGAATCATTAGATAGTGGGCTACGGATTGGGTATTGAATTGATATGGTTTTGAATTCAGAGACAGTATGAGTGAGAGAAAGAGATAAAAAAATATAACACACATTAGTTTTATACTATTTTTTGCAGCTATATACTTTTATATATTTAGATAGTAGTTTTTGAATCAATTGAAAACTCTTTGTGTTGTATTTTGGATTTATTTTTAGTGCACTTTGTATTGGAGTTGTATTTTTTAAAAGATAAGTTTTATGTTTAAATATTTATATGTTTTTGTTTCATAAATATTTTAAATTTTTACGTATTTTTCAATCATATAATAGTTTGGTTTCAAATAACATAGAGAAAAACATGTATGTTATTTTTAAATTAAATAATTTATAAATAGTTATTTATTATCATACCTGTTATTATTGACAACTGTTTGAAAACTTTTTTTTCTAATTCTTTAGTATTTATAAACATTACTTAATTAAAATTCTGATCACTTTTTGTTCATAAATTGTTTACAAATTATTAAATTACAAAAACTATTTATGCATTTAGTCATATGAATGTAAAAACCCTTTTGGGAAAATTATATGTTTCCATGTTTTCATGTAATAGTAAATACATTGAGTTTTTCAAGTTATCCAAAAATAGCTATAATTCAAAAACACACGAATTCTAAACAAAAACTTTTCATACCTTTCCGGATGGGAAGCCGTGAAATACTTGGCTGAGTGAGCGTC